CACGCTTCAATTACAACAATGTGTTGGCTCAAAGTTCTGTTAACTGATTCTAAATATTGAGTGTGAGAGTTCCCAAGAAGTGCCTGTAATTCTACAGCTTCCCGTTTGTCCCAGGTATCTTCTAACAATAATTCTTTTGACGTAAATTTGTTTATGAATGTATCTATAGAAACAATGTGTCCTTTCTGGATCATGCCAAGCATAGCCTTCCCTAGTGGAGGTCTGCCTTCAGTATAATTACTAGAACTATGATTAGCGAAAATGCTAATGGTTTGATTCTTAGTGCCATTGTCTTAGTGCCATTGATTATAAATGTACTGGACTGTGTAGGGTACAGGAAGTTCTGGCATGAAGCAATCACACTGCCCACAAATATATCAAAAATAACCATAGAAACCCTATTCAAAGTTACCAAGGAATGAGCACCCGAGGCCGCTCTTTTTGCAACACAGGGAGACCCGGGCCGCCATAAACTCCGAAGAGTACGAGCTTGCCAACGCGCCACACCTTAGGCCATTTCACAGGCATCGCTGCTCACACTGCGACCGCGGTGGGCGCTGCACATGATGTTTTCAAGATTTTCTATTTTCAGCTTTCAGCAGTTGGACTATGATTTTCCGGGTGTTTATTTTACATTCATTTAGCTTCTTTGGCCTGTAAATTTTTCACCAAATAGCTTGCATTATTTCTGCAAGCATATTTCCTCCTTTCTCTTTTTCTCCTCCCTCTGGGACTCCAATTGTATATATATGCAATTGCTTAACATTCTTCTACAGGTCTCTAAGGCTGTTTATTTTTCTTTTGTTGCTTGCTTTTCAAAGTATATAATTAATGTTGATTTATATTCAAATTAACTAAATCTTCTCCTTACCACCTTAAATATCCTTTTGAGCCCATGTAATGAATTTTTCACCTCATTTATTACACTTCCCAACTCTAAATTTTCATTTGACTCTATTTTGTGATTTCTATGTTCACTTTAACTCATTAGTAACATCATTCATTTAATTCCTTGAACATATTTTAATTCCTTGTACATATTTATTGTAGCAGCTTTTGAATGCTTACTAAATCTAAAGTTGGGCTTTTTCCTGTTTTGCATATGTAGTCATTTTCTTTTGAACACCAAACATTGTGTACTTCTTGTAGTGAATTTAGATTATGTTAGTTTCCCAAAGGTGATGTATTTTTGTCTCACAGGTAATTACAGCGTATGGATTCAAGTTCTTAAGTCTGGCTCCACTGTCATATGTTGCAAGTAATGTCTTTGCTCAAACATTTTTGAACCTGCGTCCTCAGCCCTCGCATGGTTCTAGAATCAATGTTTTGGGCAGAATCTATCTTAGGTACTCAAAGCAGTAAGATTTCCACTGTGTTGCTGAGCTACATGAGGGTTGATGCAAGCATTCAATGGTGCAGAAAAGTGTAAAATATCTCTAGTCTTTGCATTTTTTTCCAGGGTTTTCTGAATATATGCATAGTTTGGTACATGGCCCAAATTCCCTCTAAGTTTTTCTCAATTCTAGTTTTTTCTTATAAAATTTCTAGCAATCACCCTGAATTCATACCACCTTCTCTGCTCAGTAAAGTTGAGCTTCTAGTCCCCATGCTTCAAGGAAGAGAATTCTCATAGAAAAGTGCCGCACTGTCATCACTGGTAGCTGCTGCACTGGTCGCCTGCCATTGACTTTTTTCAAATGAACTGGAATACTCTTAAACAATTCTGTTCACTCTTAAACTTGTTTCATGCAGAAGAGAATCGCATACTACTATAACTGGAAGTAGATTCTTTCTTGAAATTCTACTATACTTATTTTTAGCCACCCTTGAAAATACTTGCTAATTCCATCATTTTTGTCACTTCTGGCTTTGTACCTATTGATTGGCTTTCTCTTCTTTGTAAGCTATTTTTCCTGCTTCTCTATGTATTCACAATTTTTTTTTACTATTAGCTATCACTGATAATATTTTCATGATTTCCTGGATTTTGCCTTTTAACTTAAAGCTATGTTGTGGTTTGTGATTACAGGAAACTTACTTGTAGATAAAACTGGTGATTCATCTGTTGATGAATGCTTAGATTGTTTTCATATCTTGGATATTGTAAGTAATATAGTTAGTAATTTATGTGGTGATGCAGGTATTTCTTTGAGATCGTGATTTCACGCTTTAGATATATATCCAGAAGTGGAATTGTTAGATCATGTTAGTACATGATCTATGTTTAATTTTTTGAGGAACCTCCATATTGTTTTCCAGAGTGTCTGTGTCTATTTAGATTCTCACAGTGCACAAGGGTTCTCTCTTGGCCATATCCTCACCATCACTTGTTATCTCTCATCTTTTTGATAATACCACTCAAATAAGTGTGAGGTGGTCTCTCATTATGGTCTTAATTTACATTTCCCTAGTGACTAAGTATCTTTCATGTATTTATTGGCAATTTGAGTATTTTCTTTGAAAAAATATCTCTTCAGATCCTTTGACAACTGTAAGTTGGGTTATTACTTTGCTGTTGAGTTGTGTGAGTTCTTTATACATTTGGGATATTAGCTCCTCAGATATGTGGTTTGCAAATTTTTCTCTCATTTCAGAGGTTGCCTTCTGATTTCTGCACTGCATTTTATTCAATGTCTGAAACAGTTTACCCTTTCTCTAATTTTTTCCAGTGTAATAATTGTTTACAGTGGGAGGGTTAATACAATTCCATTAATCTGTGTTCAACTCCATCTACTTTGTCATGTGAGGTGTGGAAATCCTTCCAAAACTTTTGAAAGAATCTTTTCACTCACTTCCAGGCTTTCATGCAAAATACTGGACATACCCATCCACCTTCTGCATGACTGTTCGGAGTGAAAAGTCAATGTGACCTCCCCTAAAAGTTAGTTTCACTCACACTTCTCAAAGAATGATCACAGAATTTCTCAGAATGAATTTACTGTCTTAACAGTAGCCAGTCTCTGATTTTAAGCCTCACTTCTCATTTTCTGCTCTTCAACTCAGAGAAAAATGAAGCCTCGAAGGCAGGTGCTGCCAGAAATACTGTCTCGAATCTAAGGCTCTGCCTCATTAGACGTGTGGCCAGGGATGTTACGTATTCTCTTTGAACTTTCTTCTCATCTGTGAAGTGGAAAATATGACCTAACTTCACAGTATTATCTACACCATAACATTTAGATGTTATGACACCTGGCAGATTCAAAGTCAACATAAGTTGCCATTACTTTCGCTTCATGTAATGTATTCCTCCATTTACACTGCCTCTTCCATTTCTCTTCCCCACCTTTTTGGTTTCTCTTCCTCCTTCTCAACCTCCTCCTTAGGCAGCCCGTGATGCCTAATAAAGGACTGATACTACAGTAAGTGCTACTGATAAGGAGAATTCTGCTGTCAGAAGGGTGAAGACAAATGTTTTAAAATATTATTCATTATAATTAGTTATAAGTAATGTTAAAAGTGTTATAGTTATGCATACATGTTCTCACTGCTTGCTTGAGTCATTCATTCATCCAAATTTATCTCCTGTTATTACCAAGTGGCTCTAATTTGCCTTTGTTTTTACTAGGGAGGAAGGTCCACTGGACATCACACTGCCGGCCTCTCTCCCACACTTACGTGGAGTCCCAGTGGAGACACATGATACATGCGATCCTTCTGCCTGGATGACCGCAGCTATGTCTCATCCCTTTTAGTTCACTGCACACAACTCTGGCCCGGTTTCACAGCTAATAAAGGTAGACACAGTCTGTTCAGTCCCCTACAACACAGCCCTCCATTCTCTTGGGACATGTCCATCATGAAGCTCTATTTAATGGTCATTTCCATCCTTCTCATCTTGGTTCATAAGACTTCCGATAACACAGGCCTCCCTTTACAGGCTCTGGGGTCTTGAACATGGTATTTTATCTTGGTAGCTTCAGAGATGACTCCTACTTACATATAATAGGTGCCACCTAAAGTCTTTTCTGGTCTCAGGTAGGTTGTGGACATTACTGCCAAGGTCCACCTCCTGTCAAGATAGCCCCTGTCTCTGTCAAGAGGCTATTGTTCCTGGGATTATGGTTTTTCACTTTTAAAGATTTGTTTTATTTATGCATATAAGATCTGGGCTGTAGGCTACAGGTGCGGGGTGTGTGTGTGAGAGGATTCACCAGAGGCAGAGTGGGGAGCAGAACAAGATCTATGAAATATAATGTGGAGGGGAGCAAGTAGGCCAGCTCCCTGGCTGAGGATTGAACTCATGCTACAGTGGCTGGCAGTAGCTTGACAGTGCTGAGACTTTAACCCCTGCACCACTAGGGAGGCCTGGATTATGGAGTTTTGGCACATGAAGCACTTTAGTTTGTACTGTCATTGGGATGAGAGCTTGATTTATGGGTTAAGTAAGAGAGACTGGATCCCAGGTGGGGAAGCTAACAGAGAAATCAATGGGAATTTGGAGTTTGGAGAGTGGGTCGTGGTGGGGATGGGATAGGACTTAGAGATTACCTAGAGATAAAATAATATTGGAAAAATAAGTGGGGGTGCAGAGAGGATGAGCAGTTATATTTATAGAGATGGGGTGCCCTAATGTTTTGGTATAGCATGGTAAGAAAATGATATATTTGTTGAATGGATTTGGGGATGAAGTTGGGTAGAACTGGGAGTTAGAGTAGAACAAAGTTTATAGTTGGGCTGTGTTTGGGGTTGATGCTGTGATTGGGGTTGGGTAGGTTGGCTAATGTTATGTTTTATAATCGAGCCATGAAATGGCTATCAGGAGATAGGGCTGGGAGTTGAAGTCAGGTGTTTATTTCAAGTAGACGCCCAATTCACCCAATTCTAACAAAATGAAGGAGGATTAAGACTCAGGCTTATGAGGGTTTATCTTGGGCAGGTTTATCTTAGACTGGGCTTGGGGTGATTAAACTGGGATAAGATAGCTGAACTCACCACAGCATCACTGTAGCACTGGATAACACAAAATATCCAGCAATAATTTCAAATTGTTAAAAATATCTTGAGTGTGGTTGTCAAGAGCACTAGAGGAAAACAGCCCATTAGCAGTGTGGAGAAATGAAATCCTGAGGCTGGAGTGTCCCTCTATGTCCCCTGACACGGAGTGTCCTCAGCTCAGCCCCACAGAAAGCCCAGGTTGTCTCTTTCTATGGGGTTGTGTTCAGTCACCAGGCCTGGCGATTTCTCTTCCTCTCCTTCTCCTTCATCTCCCTTCTCCCCTTTGCCTTCCCTACCCATTTTCTTCCTACTTCACTTTCTCTTACTCCTTATTTCTCACCTTATTTCATCATCTGTACATGAGACATTTGTTCTCATGCTCAGTAGAGCTCAGTTCCCACATTGGAATCCTGATGGAAACCACAGGTGGGTTTTAAAAAACAAGCCACACACACATCCCAAAAATAACTAAAAAGGCAGCGAGCGTTCAATGCTTCAATGGTTGTACCTTGTGTTGCTTTCTTAGTAACTAGTAGAATTTATGGGCAGAAACCGTCCTGGACAAACTATTCTAGGATAATCAAAGTCATTTCCCCCTTTCATCACTCCAGACACATACAGATGAAATGAAACTGACAGTCAAGGCTCTCTCTTTTAAATGTTTATATTCCTGGTGTTGAACTAAGTGCTCTGCACATAAGAGTTTTCAGGAAATGTTTATTGAATGAATGAATAGATAAATGACTTTTATCTAATAAATATGTGGGCAGGAAAATCTGAAACACTGATGGGGTAGAGTGATGTTTGGGGTGCTTCCCCATTCCTATCATCGCTGCTGCATGGAAGCTAAACATGGTTGTGTCTCCCAGGGGACCTGTCCAGCTCCTACTATGGCAAGAGCCCAGAGTCCTGGAGCCCATGCACGCTTTACCATGGCATGTTCAGAAATGCCTGCAGAGAATACCAAATTCAGTGCTTAGCCTGTCAAAATGATCAAAAGTGCTGCCTGAAGCTTTCTGTGAAAATACCCAATTCTAACAAAATGAGGGTGAATTAAGAATGCAAACATTACAAACACATCAAGCTACTCTGAAGTTGAGGATCCCCAAACTTATCTCCTCCAGAAGTAACTCCTTCCTCCTTCTGGAATATGCTTCCCACAAAAATGCATGCCTTCTCGTGTGTATCTCTCATTGTGAGCAGTCATTGCAACAGGGGGAAGTTAGCCTGGGAGATAGGTGGCTGGGGAGTGCTGGACAAAAACAGGATGCTAGCTCAGTGGAAGTTGAGGGGTTCCCAAGAAAGGAGATCATATTTTGACTTGCCTGAGTACCATGAAGAGGGCTGTCACTCATTCTGGAGGCTGCAGAGGGAAGATGGCAGCTAGATTGAGCCTGGATGTTCCAGTAAACATGTTGGGGAGATCACAGGCCCTGCTGAACAAACACTGTTGCATCAGGACAGGACAACAGGATTGCCTTTAGCTCCCAGAGGATTACCTGGTCTGATCGGATGATGTGTGTCCTCAAGAAAGAATTAGAACCAGACAGCGGGATGGATAGAACTGAGTGTGGGAATCTGCTGGACAAATTAGGCAAACACTTCTAAGTGTAGAGTTACTGGCAAGTGGCATTTAATAGCATCATTATTATTAAAATTTCTAGCTGTTTAAATGGATGAAATGCAGGTGGACAATAATGCATTACAAGAACATGCTACACTAGAGTAGCATGGGAGCAAAGATAATTAGGTCTGTGATATGGCGTTACTGACAGAGATGATAGTTTTGATAAAAGAAATTGATGACCTCAGGGCAACTAATAGACAAGTTAAGGCGTGTTCTGAAAGCCAAAGGACCTCTCTGAAAAACATTCAGCGTATTCACTTCTGCAGCCACGGACACTGCAGTGATTCAGAAGGACATCAGGGCTGCAAAGGAAACTGAGGGCCCAGACTCCACGGTGTCTTAGGACAAAGTCAGGGTCCATATAGGGAAAATGTGGGTCCCTCCAATCTGAGGCCATTCCAAGAGTGCAGAAGCTGAGAAATTCTTTGAATTTCTTTATCGTGCCAAATTTGAACTTTATTGAATAGGAAGATAAACACACCCTCCCCCTATAGTTTTGGTTGGATTCTGGAAAGTTCTCTTCTTGTGATGTTCTCTCCATCGATGGCTCAGGTTGCCTGCTAGTGGCTTTTGTTCTTCCCATTTTGCGGCTTCTTTCTTAGACTTATGAAGAGCCAGATGCAACCATTAAACCGTCACTTTAGAAGGAATATCTTGACATGCCCCATGCCACTGCACTGGAATTTTGCTGATCTAGAAGACCCTCAAACTACAATTGGACTTTTTCCTACCCTCTGACACATAACTGTCTCACCAGTAAATGTAGAGCAACTGCTACTTCTTGCTCACTAGACCTTGGCCACATTAGGTGATGAATGAAAAGGGTTAGTGTGATATCTTGTGGAAGCAAAAGGCAGTAGTAATAGAGAAATTTCTTCCTTTGTCTGAGGAGACACTGGTCCTCAGTGGATCAGGTGATGCTCACCCACACTAGGAAGGACAGTCTACTCAAATGCTACTCTCATCCACAAACACCTCCCTAGGCACACCCTGAGATCATGTTTAATCAGGACCCTTTATGACACATATTGACACATAGAATTAATCGTTCCAGCCACTGAGAATTTGTGGTTGGTTGTAGTTTAACAAAAATAATTAATACAGAGTTAGAGAGCAGGAGCCTGTTACATCTTTAGATGGTCTGGGACATGGCAGGGTATTTCCTCTACATGTAAGAACAATCTATTGTACCTTGTAGCTTTATTCCATAAGAGATACATTATTTAGTGAACTATTTTTAGTTTTTGGAGGCAAAATATGTCACATTTGTAAATCTTCTCTGACCCCTTCATCAATTGACTCAGATGACGTTCAGTTTTAGGTGAGGTCTGGAGAAGGTGTTCTGAAGCAGGGTGTGGTAGTCTGCTCTGCTGTGCAGACCAGGTGTGTTGGCAAGTCCTGTGGTTTAAAGAGATGCTTAAAGAGCTGGTGCCTACAATTTTGGAATAGGGTCATGCTGCCTGCAGCAAAGGATTGCGCTTTTAGTCCCTAGTAGAGATTGGACATCTGACCACGTGTAACCAACTAAGAAAGTGTCCTGAACTGCAGTTATAAGTGGAGTTCCCATTCACCAGATCATCCATTTGGGGGTACACAGTAGAAAGCCACTGTGTGACTAAATCAAACCTGAGCAGATTTGGAGATCACTAGATGACCCAGGTGTCCACATGACCACCATTTGAGTGGCTTTTGTGCAGGTGTAATGTGTACAATAAGATGTTGGAGGAGGAAAGCATTCAGAGTGATTCATAGCTAGGTTGGCTCAGTATGCTCATTTAAGTCGCAAAGAGACTTGTGTGTTCACACAGCTTCGTGTAAAAGTCACCAGAGAGAACAGCGGTGGGAAGAAATCCTTACAGTGGGACAAACCTTCTCCATACCTCATCATCTCCCATGAGTGGCTGGCAAGAATGTACAATATACCCAATCCTGGCTAGAGAAAATTCAGACAGTATCTTTTTTAACTGAGAGCTGTTTTTCTGACCAGTGTGAATTTATATTGTTGTATACCATGCACTTTCTTAGTAGGAGAAAATATTTCAGAGAAAATGGGGTTTGGCAGACGATGTGGAAGAGAGAAGAAATGGGGCAGCGGGGACTTATTAAATGTTTGGGGAGAGAGAAGAACTGGGATCTCTTAGTTTTCTATATTGCTGACATTACTCCCTGACCTTTGTTTCTTTCCTTCCATCTTTTCCATCCCGCCTCCTGAAATCCCTCCACCCCCTTCCTCTTCTCTGTCCTGATGGCTAGCACAGCCCTGGTATTCATAAGTGCTACTGCTTCATGTCAATAAGATAAAGAAAAACATATTTAAAGTTTTTTTTAATAATTACTAGTTTTTTATTGTTTGATTGTTTTAATGTCTAACACAATTTACAAACGGTCTTGAATTTTATTTTATCTTGTCTTGAATATTTATTTTATATTATTTTGAATTTTATTGGGGAGGAAAGCCACTTGGCATGGGTGCTGACACAGCTCCTACACTCACACTGAGTACCCGGATGAGATATGTAATACATGTTACCCTTCTGCATGGCTGACCTCAGGTATGTCCCACCTTTCTTTGTTCACTGCCCACAACCTTACCCTACTTCTGGAACTAATAAAGCAGGGCACGTCTATGCTGCAAAGATCTCTGCTATATCTCTTGTGTGTTCTCTTCATTCTCTGAGGCTTTCAGTTATGAAGACTTATTTAGTGACCATTGTCATCCTTCTGGTTCTGGTTCATGAGATGTCAGGTAATCAAACCACTTTCAAAGGTTCTGGGTCCTGCATGTGGATTTGCGATTTTGGTGACTTGATGTCAAGCTGCTTAGGGAGACTCACCTCAGGTTCATATCACGAATCAGAAGCCTTCTGCCTCTGTACTACTATGACAGGTGTAAGGATTTGGTGCTCCTGGGTGGAAGAGGGGGGAATACTGGGCAAAGAGCACAATAGGGTAGTAATGTCACTGCAATGAGCACTCAGGACATGAGCTTGGTTTAAGGAATTGAATCTAAGTTGAGGGTTTACAGGATCAATGAAGGTGTTACCTTGGAGACTGGGAAATGAATTGATAGCAGAGAGGTTACAACAATTTGGTTGGAGTAATGGTAGAAAAATAGTGATTAGCTAGGAGTAAGGGTTGTATTTATTAAATTAGTCTGGGCTGGTGGTTTGGAATAAGCTGGATTTTGAAAGATATTTGTGATCAAATGGATCTTGCAGTGAAGTTTGGTGAAATTGGCAATTGAAGCAGAAACAGTTTCCATGTGTGTTCTTGTTGGGTTGAAGCTGGATGTTGGTGCTGGGTGGCACAATTTGTTTATCTTGGGATTGGGGATTGGGTGGGTGTAAGATGGATATAGGCCTGGATTTGAAGCTAAGTTTCTCACCTGTTTGTGAATGGAGGGTGAACATATGGCTGATATAGAGGCTGGGGTTAGCATGGGGTATGGACTGAAACTGGTTACACTTGAATGAAACACCTCAGTTTATCACAGTATGGTTGTTATTTGAGATGGTGATCAATATGGTCTGCATTAAAAGTGTGAAATATCTTCTACCCATTCTCTAAAAATAAATCCTTAATGTGAATATCACTGGCCATAAACAGCCCTAGATGAAAGAGAAAGCAGTGCAGATAAAAGAAGTTGTGGGGCGGGAGGGGAGGGTTGAGTGTTTCTGGATCCCTTCAAACCTTGGCATTCCAGTGAACACACACACACACCCCATAATATAATAAAAGACAACAGAAACATGGCAAGACTTTTAGCTATTTCTGCAGCTAACCAAGGCTGCTTTTAGTTTTGAGTGTAAGTTCATGTCTAGACTTTCTCTTCTTATTCTTCCTCATCTCTACATTCCCCCCCCCCCATAATTCCTTTCTTTACCACCTGCCTGCCATCTTACTCTCCATCTTTTTGTACCTCTTTCTTGACCTATTATTGTACCGTCTTCCTTGAGGTAGACCTGATTCCATGTTCATTCAAGATTGGATCAGTCATGATCACTGCAAATAAAACAAAGGCTAAACTCTGTGCTTCAAGAATGATAAAAAGTTCCCCTTCCTTAATGATTATTTAACATGTCCATGTGGAAGAGCTCACTGCCAAGAATATTTTGAAGTATGTGTATGTGTGTGTGTGTGTGCCACTACTATTCTACATAGCATTGGAAATCCTAGGCAGAGCAATTAAACAAAAGAAAAAAGAAATAAAAGCATCCAGATAAGAAGGAGAGAGCTAAATTGTCACTATTTGCAGATATCATGACAATATGTTTGTAGAAAATGTAAAGGAGCCTGTGAAAAACTATTAGAAGTAGTAAATGAAGATAGTATAGCGAGGTGGCAAAATACAACATTAATATTCAAAAGTCAGATGCATCCCTATATGCAACTATTAAAATGAACCATGGGAAGAAGTTGTATTTTAAAAA